TAAGGCTCAATTTTCCAGTGGAAATAGCCTGGTCTTGATGATGCTTCTCTCTGTGCCAGAGAAAAGGTTCAGCTGGCTTCTTAGATCAGCTTTACAGCCTCTTCACAATGCCAGGCTGCTGCAGAAAGGGGACCCATGGAGCCAAGAATTTGGCCTCTGGATTTCAGTGACATTAACACCCAGAAAGAATTCGTGGGAAGGACCACTTCCATGAGCGAAACTGGAGCCATTCCTTGCAGTCTGGGGCTTGTCTGCACATGTGAATAAATGCATCTGGAATAAGAGAAGCTGTAAATTTAAAGTAGGAGTGTGGTAAAATGCAGCAAGTCATGTGGCAATGTGATTATTTCTTTTTATTTCTGGCAGAACTGGGTATGAAAGTTAGTGAAGTTAACACAGGGAAAGACACCCGCATTCCAGTCTCAGTGTCCACGTGTACTATCACTCCAGACTGAGTCGCTTGGAGTTGTTAAATGTTTGCACTGGAATAACTCCATATGCAGACAAACTCTCATTTTCTTGCGTAGAAGTGGGGAACTGCAGAAGTCTATCAGGGAATTAATTCAGCTTGCTTATTTCCTCTCAGAACAAAAGAATTGCCCAGCTTTGTGAGGTTAGTATAAATAAAATTGCCAGGGTAAAGCAATCAGTGTTCCATTAATGGACATTTCAGAGTGGAGTAAACTTTTTTCAACATATCAGCTGGAAGACTCAACCATTCATGTTTTTAAAACATGAATTTTGAATGTCTCTTCCAGCTTTCAAGCACTTTGTTTGAAGGGAAAAATGATCTGCTATCATATTCACCCAGATATAAGTAAAAAATATGGGTTTAGGGCAATCTTGTGGAAAAAAAAAAACAAATAACCAAATAACTTGCCTTATACTTAGGTGCAACTTACTTGAAGAGGAAACCAAGTCAGTCACTTCTGAGAAGCTATTTATCTGTCCAGTTTTTTCTTCCCCCTCTTTTGGTAAACATTTTCCCTATTTTTTTGCCAGCCATAAACTATCGTAATATATGCCCAAGTCAGCAGCTTTTAATGATTCTTACAGAATGCTCATACAGAACCTGTAGGGGTACCATCTGTTATTCACTCTCTTTCAGGGTACTTGTACAGGACAGATCCTCTCAAAATGAAGAGAGCAGAGGAGAAAGGAAAGGAGGAAAACCATGGGGATCTCATTGGGAATTATGCTTAACCTCCACTCTGACCTTCCCTGGGCACCTGATGGCATTGCACTGAGACTGGAGTGGTTCTATCACACAAATATCAGTTGGACACACTTTGAGAAAAAAACATCATTTAAATCTTTGTTTCTCAGAGGAAAGCAGCTATATGTCTCTGTCTTTACAATGAAGCATCTTTCAACATCCATTCTTACAATGAGCATCTTCCATAGGCTACTATTGCATATACTGTTCTTCCCAAATTTTGTCTACCATCAGGGTAGCATTTATGATATTTTTTTTCTGAAAATAACAATCTGTTTTTTTCTGATAACTAGCAAGATTGGCCATTTAACATGAATCACCTAATTCATTCCAGACCTTGGACTTTGATATTTATTTTGAGATATTTCTTATTTTGGAGCACAGTGAAGGGTACATTTCACAGACCATTTTACCAGTTTCATTGGGTAAAGAATGAATAACAATTCCCTAACTTGAAAATTGTTGTTTAACCACTGCTGTTAAGTGAAATCTTACTCTGTTTATGATTCAAGTATATATCTTTGTTGCAAAGGAAAGATAAATAATGATCCTAACCATATTAGATAATTAGATGCTTAACATAAGCAGTAGGAGGGAAAAGATGTTGAAATAGGTCTATGGGAGGTGAACAATTTGTACTGCAAAATCCATTAATGAGTACTAGAGCCATATGACTTTTGTTAAGTCTTTTTCTCAGCCCTTTTTAATGTATAGCTACTCAGACTCACTTTAGAGCCTATTTGAAGCTGTCATGTTCCCAAGAGAGAGCAGACATACAGTAAGGATGGCTCAAGACAGCTTAAGTTGCTGTACCCATTGGACACTTCTGCTCTGCATGAAAGTCAGCAGAACAAACCACAAGTCTTGCACCTCCACACTGCAGAATCTTGGCACCTCTATGAGCTGGTTTCGATTTTATCCAAGTTGCCATACTTTGAATCTCAGCAGGAGCCTCAGTACTATCAGGCAGTACTCCATTCTGCTGTTGGTCCTGAGAATGCTGATCTTGGGCAAAGGAGAGGAGCAGGCAGGTAAAGCCTTTGTGCCTTGTGAAAGATTCACTCCAACGTGTCTGTCAGAGCCATAAATCCCTTGTCCTTAAACACTTTTCTCCTTTCACTATCACTAAAGTCAGTCATAATATCAAATTTTGTCTGGGTAAACATTTACAGGGATAATAAAGAAGGAATTAATATAACAGTCATGCGATATGGTGAGTTTCACAGTGACCATTATGAATTTATTGTTAAGAGGAGATGCAAAAAGCATATGTATGTTGTGCTACGTGTGGAATCATGCTGTTTTGCTGTGTATATTATGTGCTAATGCAGGACGGGCAACTCAAAGGTCACTGCCAAGGGAATATTTGATGTCCTGGAAATGCCCCAAAAGTTCTTTTAAGCCATTTAGGTACAGGATGTTGAACCAGTACCTTCTGCATTTAAAGGGCTCTGTTATGGTAGTCTAATATTTGCAGAAAGTGCCTGCTGAAGGCTGAGCAGGCACGTCAGGGTAACATTTCTCTATTCATGTAATCCCAACAACGTAAGAGTGACCAGGACATGACTGTTTTACAGCCAAACAATGTATTAGAAATGAATAAGCAAGAACTAGAGCATACACTATACTTTTTTAAGCTTCTCTCCTTCACGGATATGACAGTGTCATCAGAGTCTTACCTGTTCTCTTTCAAGATCAGGCTGTCATCAGACTAACACTGAATAAACACATTTGGAAGTCACCAGGAACTTGAGTTCACTTTTCCCAGTCCTTTGAGTCATCTCAGCAACTCTGAGAGTTGTAGGGTGTTTTTTAGCCTGGCATCCTATAGAAGTGGCAAATGTTCAGTCATATGGATGAATATGAGTGTGCATGATTAGGGTTTTTTTTCTGTCTGTTTTTCCATTCTACAAAACCTCCCCCAGTATCTTTTAGACCTAATGGCTATTTGCCTTCCTACCTCTATTCAGAAAATTAGAGAACCACATTTTTCTGGAGACCACTATGCTCCCCTGTCAAATTCTTGGCTTTCCACAAATATTGTCATCAGTTTGGAAGATGAAGTGAAACATTTGTGAAGGGTGGTGGATCTGACTTCGGCACAGTCAGCCTGCAGTCTCTGGGGTTCATTTCTTCCCTTCCTCAGTCATGGCAAAGAAGCAAGAGAAGTGAAATTGTGTTTTTTCAGTCACCTACCTCCATGGAAAAAATATCAAAAAAAGAGGGGGGAAAAAAAAGAGCAATGATGTATTGAAGCCAAAAGCCAAAGCAAATAGCTCAGAAACAGTCTGAGCCGAAATAAGTTCCCATTCAGCTGTACAAGTCCAAATAGTTAAAAAGACCCTAAAAAATGTTCTGCTCACTCATAGCTCACAATTGAAAGAAAGATGAATATGTCTTATTCCTCATTAAATTTAAAATGTAAATTTTAATTTACTGTGGCTTTTTTCTTCTGAATGATTTAGTGATTGGAATGGAGGATTGATTCAACGGACATATGCACTTAGTGCACACAGGGACATGGGGCTCTACTGTTTTCTTTAGTCCCTGAAATTTTAGACTTAAATTTACATTTATTTATGAAGTCAGTACATCTTAGAGACAAGTTCAGTCATCCAATTCAGTGGTACCCAAAGTGGTATCTTCCACTTGTGGGGTAGGGAGAGGAGTGAGAAGATGCTTCTGTTGGCTGTGTAGCAACCTGACCTGCTGGAGCTGTAAATGCTCTGTCCTGAAACTCTCGGCACAAGCAGCTGGCAGGCAAGAAGGCTCTCACACCCTCCAGCACCATGTGAGCAGGACAGGCCCTACTCATGGGTAAGGCAGATTTGGGATGGCCATGGAATTTTTGTTTTCTGGTTCTCCATCCTATGAGGAAAGGCTGAAAGAGTTAGGGTTGTTCAGCCTGGGGAGACCTTATTGCAGCCTTTCAGTTCTTAAAAAGGGCCTTGAGAAAGATAGGGAGAGACTTTTTAGTGAGACCTGTTACAGTAGGACGAGTGGTAATGGTTTCAGACTAAAAGGGGGAAGATTCAGGCTGGACGTGAGGGAGAAATTTTTACAATGCAGTGGCTAGGGAACCTTCTTGGGTGAAGTTAAGTCTCTGTCTTTAGACAAAGCCTTGGATCTGTGATTTTCCCCATGGAAGAGCTAACCGTTTATATAAATGAACCAGTTTAAGCCTCTCATGGTCCTCTTCGCCTTGTTATCACCCCTATAGCTGCCTTCCCTTCTTCTGGACATCGGTTCTTGATTCCAAAGGCATCTCTGATCAATTTGTTCTGTGCTTCTTTAGGCACAAAGCTAAATACATTTATTGTATAAAATATTACAGGCAGACTCCAGAGCTGCATTCACTAGGCCACATGGTGCTGGGAAGCTAAGGACAGTAACAGTAAGCATAATGACACCATAAGTCGTTTCCTCACTGCAGACCTTGGGGGCTCTCAGACCAAGACATGGCCCACAAACCCAAAATTTGTACTTAATACAGCTTTTCTTTGCCAGAGCTTTAGAGGAGCAAAATCTCTAGAACTCAGAAAGCTGCAAAAGTTATGAAGGTCAGAAATGATTTCTAAGTCACATTAGAAAAGCTGACATATGTATAATAAGTATTCTGCATGGACACCACTGCTGCCTCGTTTGCCATCCACAATCTGACTGCTTTAGTGGTCTGCTGAGTCCCTAGGTTGTGTGCTGGATGCAACTGCCTACACTAAGCACCTGGCTCTTTATCTCTGACGTATCACACCCTCTTCCATGCCACAAAGAGATCAGAAACTGCTCAAATTATATTCCTTTATTAATGGAATGGTTTTGATTGACCAGAAATGAAATGGATGAAAGGAATGCTTGTCCTTTATGGTTGCCAGAAAAAGTAAATACTGTCTACAGACATTATACAGCTTTCTTTTAACCAAAATTAAATACGGTCCATAGCAAAGCAAGCAATCTGTAGAAATGTATTGTTATGCTGCTATTACAAACTATTTACATTGGATGAAAAACAGGTGTCTCAAAGCCAACTTTAACCTTACTTGATTACTCTTAATGATTCTGTGTATCTTGCCCTCATCTTCTCTTTTTGCTATTATATATAAATCGGACACTAACAAGGTTAAAAGAATGAGTAATCACAAAACAAGCTCTGGGTAGCAAGACAGAAAATAAGCTCTCTTCCTCACCACCCAGCACAACTACTCTGTCACCCTCCTTCAAAATTTAAGGAGTTTATCAACTTCCTGCAGGCTTTTCCCACATCCAAACATTTGTCTCTCTGATCAACTTATTTTCCAGGTAAAACCTGTGAAGGCAATACCTGGTACAAGAATATACATTTTAAATATACATATTTCAAAGGAGCATATTTTCTTCTAGCAGTACTGTGTGCTGCCTCTGCGAATGCATGTTCACAGTAAAACCATGTCAAATAAATATTTGAAGGAATCAGCACAGTGCATCCAGTTTCACTTTCCAAAGGGAAAGTGTGGTATGTCTGCTTATAGTGGCGGTATAAGGCAGAGACATAATACAAATCCAACTTTGCTAAATCACAATCATGAAAAAGAAATCCTGGCTAATTACAAAATACTTGATTTATAGCTGGACCAAACAAAGAGATAGGTTTACTATACACCAAAGCTATTTGCAGAAAAGGACTTCACTGCTGGTTTCATAGCAGACATACAGCACAGAGAGTATGTATTTTCAGTTTGCAAGAAGGATTAATCAGAATAGTTTGTCTATTCAATCAAACATTGCTCTGCTGCAACAACATTGTTCTCAGTTGCCTCTCTCTTTGATCTTCCTGTCTGTATTTCTCCTCTAGTTTTTGTTTTTCAGAGTCCATACTATAAAAAGTAGAGTCTGTGCTTCTCCTAATCTTCTCAAACTGACTGAAATCTGCAACATACTTTCCATTTGGAGAGAGAGAAACCACAGGCACGAACTCGTAGCCCCAGTGGATCTCCTCAGGGATATAGGAAGTTCTGCTTTGGCAGACAGCACTGGTGGATTCCACCGTGGCATTGAGGAGCACCACAAGCTCAAAGTCCTTATCCTTGAGATTTTGAGGTGTGAGATCTCTCAGAGGGCTGCTTTCATCCAAAATATGGTAGAAGGTTAAAGGCAAAATGAGAAATGGACTCTCTGAAGAGGAGTCAACATTGAACTTGACACTGGCTTGATTCAGCAGGATCCTTTCCCCTTCTTTGGTTTCATATGTCTGAAGAAGCTTCCCAGACAGCTGACACTGTATCAGAAGGCTCTTCCTCATATTTGCTACTCTGATCACCAGGCAAAGTTCTCCATTGTGTTTAGTAATGACAGCGCAGTGGCTGAATTTAATAGTCTCTGCCCTTTTTTTAGGTCTTGCAATTTTGGCCAGAAAGGTACCTGTGATGAAGATTTCTATCAAGGTGGTGATGACCAGTTGGGCTACAAGTAAGAAAATGGCATGAGGACACTCCTCTGTAATGAAACGAAATCCATAGCCAATGGTTGTCTGTGACTCCAGGGAGAAGAGGAATGCCCCAGTTAGAGAGTCTACATTCTTGACACATGGCTCATGCTTTGGTGTGAACTTGTTTATTTCTAAATCACCATGAAGGAATGCAATAGCATAGTAGATAACTCCAAAGAGGAACCAGGTCATAACAAAAGTAGCAGCAAATAAGGTGAGTTTGTACCTCCACTTCATGTCTATAACTGTAGTCCACAAATCCTGAAGGTAGAGTAGGTAAATGCCATCGACTTTGTCTATCCGCACATTGCTGTGACCGCTTTTGGACATCACACGGGGTTTGTGCGTTTTGAGCATGGCAGTATCAATGCCTCCGTTAACCAGTGGGACACGGGACATATTAATCTTTGTGGTTTCCATTCTCACTGCTTCAGTCCTAAGGAGAGAATAAAAGAAAGTTGTTACTTACTGAAACCAAAACACATGATTCATTCTGAAAAGCATTTGAAAATGTCGATGGACAGAAGGCACATACATAATCTAAACACAGCAGCAATGAATAAAACGGGTTGGAATATGAAGTTACTATCATACAATATCTGACATTACAAATAATTTTATATTCATTTTTCCAGGAAAAAAAAAAAATCCATCTTTGATTCTGGTGACTGCCAAATACAGAGAAATAGGTTTCTTTTATGATAGCCTGCAAAGGAAATTTGACAAAGTTGAAATTTTATATTAGCACTTTATTTCTGTAAAATGAATTAAATTATTTTCTTACATTTCTCTGGAGAAGAGTCTCTTTTTGATTACTGAGCAGGTTTTCTTTAATGCCCTGAAGAGAGACATCTGATCAAATTTAAAGTCGCGTTAATGCTTGGTTTAGAAAGCAGATCCAGCACACCACCTCTGTCTCTTCCTGCGACGGAGGCAAAATGAGCCAGACCAGCTTTCACTGTGAACAATTAACTTCCACAAGTGATTTACTCAATCGGATCTGGCTCTTTGTTACAAACCTACAACCAACCTAGAGGGAGACAAAGCAGATCTGAACATATCAAAGTTGAGTTTTGGAAAGGAATATTTACACCTGAATACGCTTTGAAGCTGTTTGCACTGTACAGTGCAAAATACTATTTTAAGCTGTCTAAAGAAAAAAAAAAAAGGAGGCAATTCACAAAGTCAGCATTCTAGGCGTGGGCCCTGACCTGCACAAAGCCAGCAATCATTGGACCACCCGATTCCTGAAGTTTGTTTACTGTGCATCAGTCCGGATGGAGACTAAGTGTGCAGACATTCAGGACTGAACAAAGCCCATGGAGTGAAGTAGAACGGTGCCTCTGCAAGTTTGATGAGGCAAGTAACAGGACCCAGCTTGCAGGACCAGACAGTGATTACGTAGAGCAAGGACAGTACATGTTATAGTCGTTTCCAACAACAAAACTTCCTGCTGACAAAAACAACAAAGAAAAAAAAATCCCATGCATCCTTTGTGCTTTGGCAGGTTGCACAAAAAGCATTGTTTTGTTCCATTGTTTTCCTCAAAAAGAGCCTTAAGCAAGTGATTCGTTTTCATGAACCACTGGAGAAGAAAAAAAAAAGGGGGGGGGGGGGGAAAGAATGTCTTCCTTATAGCTACTTAAAAGAATTTTGCAGGAAGTACAAGATATATTTGTGGCACACACATGTGCCAATCCAGGACATCAGCATAATTGCTCACTGAAGTACTTTTCCTGTTATGTCAATTACGGAGAATTTTTGTTTATGACTATACCCATCACACTGTTGCTGGTTTTCTGGGAAAAGGTAATTAAACTCAACTCCCATTAACACCTGCAGCTCATTCTAATTTTGTTTTAATCACCAACATTTCTCTTCCATAGCCTAGGAGCCAATGTCATCTATATATATGTATATATATATATAAAAGAAAGGAATGCATCAATGATCCCAGTAGGAGATTCCCTATGTGACAGTCAAATCAACACACAGTGCGCAGCATGTCCGGATAATAAACAGGAAAAAACCTTCAAGTGATCTGAAAAAGAACAACTGGAGGAAATGGGGGGGTGGGAGGGGTAGGGATGAGAAGGAGCATGCATGCAACTGCTCTTTAGGCAAACTCAAAATCAAGCGCTACTATCAGTGCGTGGTAAATACATGCAACCTCTAATGGGAAATCTCTTAGGAAAATGCACGCTACTTAGTGAAGAGGCTCAATTCCCCACACCGAACCTCACCCTGGATAAGCCATGGATACAAAATGTGTGCAAAAATCTGTCCCAAAATAACTACACTTCTTCCTCTCAAGCACACTTCCCTTTAGCCATTACTTCCAGGCACAAAACATTATTTTGTCAGAATAAATTTCCCTGTCACAAATTGCTAGGCCAGGAGATAGCTGACTTCTCCAGTCCGGCACCGGGGACACATCCCCATCCCATCCCCCTGCACAGCCTACCTGGACGCCTGCTCCTGGGAGCAGCTCCCCAGGGCTGCTGACTCCTCCTCCTCCTCTGGAGGCAACGAGGATGGAGACAGCCAAGGCTCCACCTTCCCTCCTCAGTGTTCCAGCTGGTGGGCTTAAGCTGGTGGGGCAGGGACAAGGCTCACGGGCTTGGCAAAGAGCAGACTTACCTGGTCAGGGTCAGGGGTGGCCCAAGGTGAGGGGCACATGGACACTGCACACCACGCTCACCATGGCTCTACCATGCCCAAGAAACACTGGCTTCTGCACAAGTGGTCAGCATATATGTAGTAAATTTGGCATATTTGGGATGCACATGCTGTGCACAGTAGCTCTGGCCCATATTCACTGTGGCACTGATACTCCTTTCGTATGCTGGACTTAATATGCATACACCACACCATTAATCTACAGCACCAGCCCGGTTCACAGTTTCAACCCACACAGGGGTCTTATAAGAGTTCTTGCCCCTGCCTCTGCTCTGCCCTGAAATACGTTGTTCCCTGTCCAAGAGCCTTGAAATGAGAAAATCCTGACACTGCAGTCTGCCAGATTTCCACACCTGGTGGATTATACTTATCACAGACATACTGAAATGCCATAGTAGAAGAGTTCACCCCACAAGATGGGAGCTAGGAAGGTAGTTGCAAGGCACAGTGTCTTCCCTGGGCTACACCAACAGAGGGACAGCTGCAAAATTTGCCATTTCAGGCTTAACCTGAGAAATAAAGTCCTGCTGCAGCCCTAGGCGATGTCTGGCATGCTCCAGGCTGTGTTTCAGCTCACAATCAAAGCCATTTCTCACTGTGCCTTTTTATTGTCCCCATGTGTAAAGTGGATCTCCACATGTGAGGTCAGCATGGCAGAGCTGTTAGTTTTGGAGTCTGCCATAGATGGAAGAAGCTGCATCAGAGCTCCTCTGTCATCTTTTGTGTCCTCCCCTGATTTGTATTTCTGTATGTGACAACGTTACTCAGCTTTACAGTGATTTCCTGAAATGGATCACAGCCAATTTCTGATGCTTTTTTTGGTGGTAGGGTATTTTTTGTGTTGATTTGCTTCCTATTTTTTTTTCTTACATCACTTTTTCCCGTGTGATCCCAAATTCCCCTAGTGCTCTTTTCCTCTCCAGGGAAATTAATCTTTGCTTCCTTTCCCTGCAGAAATACTTCCCGTCTTGTCTGCCACACTGATATGGGAAGACAGGATCTGTCACTCCATCTTGGAGCAGCACTGCCTTTGCTCCCATCCCTTATCACTGGCAGCAGCCAGCAGCAGTCATCTTGGGGAAGAAACTCTCATGAAACCAACAGTGGAACAAAACTGGGCTTCAGAGAAGGGATCTCCCCTGCCCTCCCTGCCCCACTGCTTCCTGAGAAGTGAACAGTACAATACCCCACAGTAATCATTTGTGGGTGTTTGTGTGTATAAAATCCATGTTATAACACCTTCATTACTATTTCCCATCTTATACCTTATATAGGCACCTCAGATGCTCTGTGACCTGACAACTATCCCCAGCTCCCCAGCCAAAAGATTTTGATTGGTTTGATTTCTATTCCTCTCCCTCTAAATCAGAAAGAACGTCTACCACAGTAAATTAATAGAAGCAAACAAGCCTGAATAATAATAGTAGTATACATCTTTTTTAATTAAAGAAACATCTACTATGCATTAGCTAACTGATTTTATAGTGACAAAGTAACTTTTAGTACTGTAAAAAAAAAAAACCCTGCTCAAACTGTAGCTGCAAAATAAAAGTGAACTGAAATACAGTTAAGGAAGCAGGTACTTCAAGAAGGAAGAAAATCAAATTGTCTCAGACTTGTGTATCACTCTAACGTGCTACGAATTACCTCCTTTCCTCACCAGCCTCTGAAACAGCCAAAGGAGACTCCCCATCAGAGCACACGCTGGTAAGGAAGTTTAGTGCAGACAAAGTCAACAAAATGTAGAGCTACGTACCAAACCACCAACCATGAGTACCTTGGTATTAAGGTAATTCCAGCAGCCAGGGATATAACAAGCACATTAACACTGTTTCCAGAGACTACATTATCAAGAAGTTAAAGCCAGCTTGCATTCACACAAAAATGTTCCTGTTGCATGTAGCCAGATTTGCTTGTGCAAGTCCTCTTTTGGCAGACACAACTGATTAAAAGTGTACAGGAGCATGACTTGGTCAAATGGCCTCAGCTGTTTGCTTTTTTTCAGATCAGATATGCTTTGCCACTTGAGCAAACCCTCACGCACGCTTCACTGGCACTCTGACACAGGGCAAAACTTGAACTGCTTTTCAACCAGCATAAGCCACTAGCAGGCTTGGCATTAAAAAAAACACACAGGGTTGAGGAAAGAAAACATTGAAAAGGAGTACGTAATCTCCAGATCTTTCCTAGGTCTGATGTGGTTCAGTAGGTTATAAAAGTCCCTCCTGAATTCTCAGTACTCTGCCTAGCATGAACATCGTCTTCCCTCTAGGCTATGCACCAGGTTATGCTGAGCAATTGTCAACCAGCAAAATCCTCCTCTGTAGCTGGGTTATGGAATACAAAACGATAGAGCAGAGGTAGAGGGAGAGAAGCAGTGGTTGCAAAAGGGGGCTTCACTTTTGTCACCAGCTGCAGCTTGCAGCCATACAGCCGGGCACTACTACCCAGGACTTAAAAAGTCCTCAAGCACTAGGAGTGATCAGGGTTTAGAGTACTGATAGGAAGGCTGGTAGTCAGTCATATTGTGAAATATGCTGCCTTTAAAAACTAAATTAACACCTTTTTATTTTCTTTCACAAAAAGACTGAGCCAACAGAGCTGTAAATAACCCCTCAAATCAAAACCAGCTCCCAAAGCTGCGCCTTTATCTCCCCATCCCTCCACAGAGCCACCAGTCAGGGTAGGGTAGCCCTGTGAATGGTGACTCTCCCTGGGCTTGGGCACCCAGGAATGGATGAAGGCAGAGGCATGGCTGAGCCCTCAGGCAAGGTAGTGCCCAGGAGCTGCTGAACTGACTGCACCAGAGGTGAGGGGAAGCAGTGTGGTGCATCGTGGGAGCCAGCTGCATCTTTGTCATCACTCACAGCAGAGCCAGGGCAACAGCCATTTACAGACCGGTGTTAAGCAAGTGAAAACCCAAATCCATATTTATCTCTCTTAGGCTGTTTGCCTGGCATCTGGCCATGGAAGATAAATTAAAGCTGAAGTCTCATAGTGCACTGTTTCTGAGGGAGATTTGTACAGGAATCTTGTTCTTCCCAAGGGTAAGGCTTTGCAGTAACTATTGATTTGTGTAGATGAGCCTTGTAAGCTACACTGATGCAAGCAAGTAGAAAAACAACCAAGCAGGCAGAGAGAAGGCAAAAGATGATTCAAAGCTGACTGAGGTTAACGGGTTAACGGATAAGCTGCCAGTGATTTCACAGGTCTCTGGATCAGGCCTCCAAGTGGACAAAAAACACACACTGCTAGTGTCTGAACAGCTAACACACTGCAAATGTGACATTCATCTTCCCAAGAACATGCCAGCCAGTCTCTGCCCTGGGCTATGTAGATGAGCAGGGGACTTGGCTGTGCAGAGCCTTCAGTTTGGGAGCTTTTATGTACCCTAAAGTCTTCTTTCAGAAAGGAGTAAGTAAGTGGATTAGTTTCTGAAACTTACCTTTTTGTGTTCAGTAATAGGGTATATACAGTGCTGCTGGAAAAGAGAGAAAGGTTCCCCAGAAATCTGTTTGGTTTCTTCAGCAGTGCAACATTCAGTACTTTTTAATGTCTCCCTTTCTGGAATACTGTTGTTTCAAACTCTTTTCAGTCTCTCAAATACTTCATTAGCACAGTTAAGCATTTAAACCTGCCTCTGCTGTGATGCTTTTCCCACTCACTAACCCTTTCCTTGTTCTTGCACTGCACACCTTTTCTGGCTCTTTCTACATGAGCAAGTCTAAACAGATGCTTGAGAGCCTGTCCTTTCTGTTTCTGAGAAGCTGGGTGCCAGAACTACTCTGCAAGGCTGAAAGGGACATTATTGTTGCATTATGCTTATCAAGCTCATATGCTGTGCTTCCACTTTCATTTACAGCTTTGACCTGTTGTAGGAACATTAGTGACCCCTCACAGTAGGCCTCTGGCACAAGCAAACATCTCAGCAGCACCAAAGAGAAGGAACTGAGCTAAGGGAGGGCAGGAGTGGTGTCCTGCCCCAATCAAATTTAGCACTCAATGTTAAAGCCATTAGACCTTCCAAGAGCTGAACACTCGCTGTTGTCCTGTTTTGCAGTCATTGCCACTAATTCTTCACTCTTCCATTCTAGGATGCCTTTAGGGGCTTTCAGAAGCTACATCCTGTCTTTCTCCCTGAGGTATTTCTTTTTCCTACAGGGGTATCTTTCATTAATCTGTTTTCCCCCATTTTGCTCAGTATCCCATTGTTCTCTTCCTCACTCTCTGGGAATCACAAGATATAGTTGTGCTTACTTGTGTGAATCACAAACTAGTTGTGCTTACACCACCAACATTGGAATGTGTAGCTGTGGCAGCAAAGTTGTTTCTCACAAGACTCACACTCATCTATGTGCTGCAAGTATCTTGCCATAGGTTCACAGCACCTATTCCTGACCTCTTCATTATACGACTCTTGTTCCCAATGGTTTTGCAAGGCTTAAACCCTTTGGGCTGAGGTTTTCCTCAAGACTGGTCACAAGTGAACACACTTTATCTGTTTACCTAATGTGTCAGTCAAAACCAAATAACCATTTCCAAAATCAAAGTCATGAAAATATGCTTTGGGATGTTTCTTCATCCATGTTAAGACAGTTTTTGTGTCTTTTCTCCTTCAGCAAGTGAGTGTAAACACATAAGGAATTTTTGGTGCAGAGGCTGAAGCTCATACTCTCCATGGCCAGATGAAAACCCTCACAGCTTGGCTATAGAGTAATATCAGTGCTTTCTTGACTTCTGGCCTTATAAATCTTTGTCCATACACTGATTTAGCTTCAGTGTGAAGTGGAGGGTCTCCCTTCCCTATCTCGCTAGTTCCTTATCAGTGAACTCCCCTGAGGGGTGAAAATGTGTGAACAAATTGCCGCAGACATGGGGAGAAGTCTCAAGTCCACCTTCAGTGGTCAGATTTGGGAACAGAAGTGGTAGCAGCCACAGAGTTCAAGAAGGAGGAAGGAGGTAGAGAAGTTAGAGAAGGGGGTTTATTGGGAGAAGGTTGAAGAGAAGCCAAGGAATGAACCATTTTGGCTCTTTTTGCTTAGGTGCAAGATAAACTAATCCTTTTAGTGTCTTTTAGGGTGCTTTGTGGCATGGCCAAAAGCAGAACTGTTGGGTGCCCAACAGCATGAGGGTCAGAAATGGAGACACATGTACACATAGAGCATTTCCAGCTCAAAACAGAAGCTGGGCAGGAATTCTCTGCAAAATAGTTTTCCATTTAGTCAACTAAGGCTTACCTAAGTCCTACTTAAGTACTTAATTCCCTTTTTGGGAACGGGCCCTATGCCAGGCGGCTGCTCTGGCTGCTGTGAGAGCTGCTTTCTCACAGCTCCCACCACCTTCCCCATCCCGTGTGAGGAGAGGCTACCTTGCGGGAGCACTGCTTCCAGGGAAGCACCAGCTGGGCAAAGACACTCAAGGAGGCTGCACTGCTCTTGTCTCTAATTTCAGGGCTGGGGCTCAAGCGGATTGAGTTGTTTGCCCAGGGGCATATTTTACCTCTCTTTATGCTTGTTTATATACTGCCTCATATAAATCACCTGGTTATAATCTGACCTCATGGGGTCACGTGCCAAGACAGTTTCATGTTTCTGTACACAGCCAAGGGGTGGATGCATTTCCTTCTAGCATTTTAGTCAGATGGTGGCAGCTTTTATAACAATATAGAAAGTAATGATTCTGAACCCATCTTCTGCTCAGGTTAAGTCCAGCAAAGTTCATAAGGAAGGGAGTCCCCTCCCAGGTCAGTGCAGAGCACAAACATACTATAGTGAGCTGCTGCCTACGTTTGCTGAGACTGTCATTGCCTGCTCACTACAGGTTGGCTGTACCCTTATTTTCCTTTCTTCCACAGCAGGTAAAGGACAGAACCTAGTTTTTAACCTCCCCAGTACTCACCCATCATTTCACAAGTGCTTAGACACCTACTCTACCACTGAATAATAGCAATAATAAAAACAATAATAATAATAAAGCTAAACTCATTGCAACTGATTTGTTAATCTGCAATTCATTTGAAATTTGCTGCTTTTGTTTCAGACGTGAAGAAGGGTTAGTAGAACAAAAAGCTTGTCTGGATTCTTTTATTGTTTGTTTGCTTTTTGCTCATTTCTTGGTCTAATAAAAATCTGGTTTCATTTAAAAACAAACAAGCAAACAAAACCAGAAACAGACACTTCCTCTAGATTTTTAATTTGAATTGTCAGCAGGTGGCTGAAAATGAATAGTAGTGTGCCTAGTCAGGGTTATGCAAGAGGCAGGGAGAAAAGTTAGCACTTTGCTGATAGTTCACAAAAGCCAGCTAAAACATCTGCAGTCTGCCTTCCCCAGGGCCACTTCTTCTCATTGTTTCTCAGCAACCATGGCTGGTACATGAAAGATAGTTATCAGGCAGCAGTGTGATGTTTCAAACCATTTAGACTGGTTTGTGCCTCTCTTTTCTTTCTTAGACTACAAATACTCTGAGCCTCAAACCCAACATTGGACACCAAGTCCCAACTCCAGCCTTGTCTCAATGACGAGCTGGGGCATCATTACCTACCTGTATGTCAAGCGTACAGTATGAATACATCCAGTGGCTAGCGGCTGCCTTGTTAATCACCATTTGCAATGCCAATTCATCGCATGATGCATACACTGTAACCCAGTCAAGCTGGGTTTTGTTTTTTAATTAGTCATTGCACACTGGGGCTCTCACAGCACAGCGTAGGTGTGGTTGTGAGCTGAGGCTCCCTGCAGGGTGTCAGGCTTCTGCTGTGGCAGGCTTTTTAATGCGCTCTCTCCATATGAAAGCTGTGTTTCCTGTAAGTCACAGCACTCCTTCAGCCCATACCATAAGATACTATCCTGGTGGAGGAATCACAGTACCCCAGAAATATCCCACTGTATGTACACATTCCCAAACACTGCCAAAATAAGCATCTTTATAATCTTCCATCTCTATGCAGTCACTAAATCTCAAAATTGAAATACCTGTCTGTGAAAAGAATTTTCCATTAAAATAAAAAGTCTGCAGCTTTTAAATATGTAAAAGCCTCAACAGTATTGAAAATAATGGAAATGCTGCAAAAGGCGAGGAAACTGGCAAGGGAAAAAAGCATTTTATTTAAAGGCCTTTATATTGGTAACCTTTTCTGCATTAAGCACCTTTAGTGCCTAATGTAGACAGAATCAAATCTAACTGGGGAAATACCGCACCTTAACCCAGCAGGAAGATGGACGCTGTTACAGTAGTAGCTCTTCTCTCTATGACAGTTTCTGGTTCTGTATTACCTCTCTAGTGTAGCTGCTTAGTGTTGCTTCATTTATGCAGGGTAACAATAAATACAGAGTAATCTGCTAAATAAGCCAAATTTATGGCTTTTCTGCACGGCCAGGACATAGCAGTGAGCTTGGCTTTGTGGTATTTGCAATTCTACAAAGCTCATTTCCAAGAAAGAAGGATAGGTTTGCCACGGTTTCATCTTAAAACTTGTTACAAGGTGGTTTTCTCAGGAAGTTATTTGGTTATGAAGAATTACCCTACCTGTGTGAACAAGTTCATACTGTGCAAAATGTTTTCAAAGAGGGAGTCTTCTTTCTTGCTGGCAAAATGAAGCCTGTGTCTTCTCTCCCCCCAGACCTAATGACTTCTAAATTTGATGTCTTTATCTCTTAGGCAAAACACAGAGGATGCTATTGGCACAGCAGAGACACATACAGATTTTTTACTTATTTTTTAATAATGAATTAATTTACTGTGAGTGACAGAGTAAGTATGGCCAGTATTCTCTTTAAGGGCAACAACAGCCCTTAAAATGCTCGTTCCTACTCCATTTTCTCTGCACTACAAAGATTTCAAATTGCACCAAGCACCTATTTCCCTTGATTGTCCAGGTCTGATAAACAGAGAGCAAGTTCTACTTGATATCAAGCAAACATTTTGTAGCTACTTGACAGAAACAAAACGTTTAAACTTTTAAATGCTGGAAAGAAAAATCAATAGTGACCAATAAAATCAGAACATGATATTTCACAGGCAAAAACCTATATATCATAGGTTCATTTTTACTATTAAAAATGTTACTTTATGGTATGTATATTTTCATAAATGATGTGTTGCCTATTCTGTAAAAGTCAAGCAGCTGCAAATATTAAGTATTGATGTGGGAAATTTTGGTGTATCTAGTCAGTTGTGAATACATCTTCATTTACATATGTTTCCCTTTGTTCCATTGTTACCCTTAAAAAAGGCTCTAGATCATGACACAAGACAATTTTCTCAAACAGCGAATCTTGGACGCATCCACAATGACCAGTAACCACCACCTGTGGCTATGGTCTCAGAGTAAAGTCCTTGCCCAGTCAAGTTTCCCCTTGAGCTTTCACAAAGCACTGCCAAAATGGTCACAATAAAATCCCCAGGAAGCCGCTGCTGTTATCCTGGAGCTCACACCCCCTGTCGCTATCCTCATCTCCATCCTTGACCCCATTCCAGGCCCAGCTCTGCTGTGGACACTCATCAAACGCTGTCTTCTCACCAACCTTGCAGCAGGTGCCTACAGCTCCCAGGGGGGTAGAAATGGTCACAGAGGTGTTGTAAACCATTAAAATGCTGCACTGGTGTATAAACCAGGGCATTTCACCTGCCTTTCTTAAGCAGTCAGGGACAAATTAAAAACACCAGGGATGCTTTCATAGGTGTGGGTAGGGTTGCATTATTCTCAGTACTGCCCAACAGTTTTATTTCAGGGCAACTTTCTTTTTTTTTTTTTTTCTTGACCAGTCCATGGATGTGGTTAATTTAAGGTTTAAAAGGCTTTTTCTCACACGTACACACCCACCCGTATATGTTTTCCACTGAAGTCTGTGCTTTTTCCTAGACCCACCCAAATTCCAGTACATAGCTCCCTTATGTGCCAAGCTTTCATACTCTCTGTGCAATGAATGGAAAAATGCCCTTTTTTCCACTTCTGCACATTTCTGGGGGGAGGAGAGGGAGAGTGTGTAGAGGAGAGGGAGGAAAGACATCCAGAGGAATTTAGTTATACCTGTTATTTCAGAGCAGAAACGGGAGAGTCTATGGGAACAGAGCTGTCTGTGGCAATACTCTGTTTCTGCCCATGGGTGGAGATACACGGGGTCCAAGCACCACTGCTTGCTTGGGACTCAG